ACGAAATATTCAAAGTATTTTAAGTCGAAGTCTTTGTGCATGTTAACAGACAAGGGATGTCAGGTTAAATGGGATTCATACAAACGGAACCTGGAAGTAAAGGAGTTAAAACAAAACACGAACCCATGAAACTCAGGATCCTAACTTTACGTAACCTTGAACAGTATGCGTGGTCTAAAGTGCTTTATTTGCAAATGGGAAAAGACTGTGCGCGTGGCTTCTCAGGAGCTGTTTGAATTCCAGTTGAGTTCACTGACCATGAAAACCAGGCTTTTCAGGATTCCTGATACATTTTTTATTATCATTATCATGATCAAAGACTTTAGTCTGGGTAGGATGCTTTCCAAATATCAGCTGGAAATTCCTCAACTATTAACGGATTTTCATCAAGTACACATCCGATGGTAATCATATGCTGCCTAGCTACATTCTTCTGTCACAGTGGGAAAATTTGGCCAAGAGAAACGATGATTTCTCGGCCGTATGGCCAAGATTCGCAGTTCCAATGAGCGAGTCTAAGCCAAAGCTTCCCGGGAAGGGTGTGGGCAATCACAAGTAGTAATCTGTTCAGCGGCTCCATGACTCGGGGTTTTCAAAGGTTAAGACTGGGGTCTTACATCATTCAAGCTTTTGGTTTTGTTTTTAAGTGATTTTCCCCCAACTCTTATTTTACCTTTTTGAATCACATTTTTATTGACCTCTCTTGCTCGTTCCAATATAACCCCTCCCTTCCCATACAGTTCTGGGGTTCAATCCCATCGGGTGGGGCCATACAATCATCAATGCTGTCAACCTTCCTCTCCCCCCATCATTAAAGCTTTTTTATTTCTATGTTTTTAATGACTGTCCTCAAGGAACTCCTGAACCAAACAGATCTCATTTAATACTTTTTCATGAGGAGATCGTTTAGAACGTTTGCAGAACACGACAAGAGGACAAGCCACACCCAGTGTCCCCCCACCTGTGCTGGAGCATGAGGCATTCTAGACAAGGAGGACAGCTGCAGGTGAATCCGATCTCATCTGACGCTGTCCTCCTAGCAGGTGGCCAGTAATCGGAAATAACGGTCCCCATCGGCGCATCATATACTTTTATGAAGTACAAGTGATTGTTTTATAGCTTTAAAAAATGATCCCAGACGTGTCCGTCTTACATTTGCTCGCTTTGCTCAACTTTCTTATTTTACTTTCAATGCTGACACTCACAGAGGACGACGCAACAATCACTCTGATGCATGACTTCCTCAAGAGTTTCTCTACATTCTATAAGGAACAGTTCTGGTGGGTCCAAGGTACAGACATCTGACGTACAGACATCGCCATCCAGACAATTCCAACTCAGAGTGACCTTATAGGCTGGGTAGAACTGCCTCTGTGGGTCCCCAGCACTGTAACTCTTACCAAGAGGAGAAAGCCTTGTCTTTCTCCTGAGCAACAGCCAGTGTACATCCTCTGGTCTAGCCAGACTTGGAAGGTAGAATTGGGATCATGATAGTGGAGGGGGAGGGAGCATTTAGGAACTAGAGGAAAGTTGTATTTTTCATCGTTGCTACATCACACCCTGACTGACTCATCTCCTCCCTGAGGCCCTTCTGTAAGGGATGTCCAGTGGCCTACAAATGGGCTTTGGGTCTCCACTCAGCACTCCTCACCTCATTCACTATGATATGATTTTTTGTTCTGATGATGCCTGATACCTGATCCCTTCGACACCTCGTGATCACACAGGCTACTGTGCTTCTTCCATGCGGGCATTGTTGCTTCTGAGCTAGATGGCCACTTGTTTACCTTCAAGCCTTTAAGACCCCAGACACTATATCTTGTGATAGCCGGGCACCACCACTTTGTTCGCCACATTTGCTTATTCACCCATATGTCTTCAGCAATCATATCAGG